TGTTGTTGTTGTTGCTGCTGCTGCTGCTGTTGCTGCTGCTGATGATGATGATGTTGCTGTTGCTGCGTTTCTCGCGAATGATTCGAACCGGTGGTCGCGGTTTGTATCTCGCTCGGCGAGTTGGAGTAGTTGCGTTTCGAGTGATACAGCCTCGATAGGAACTCTTTGTCCGACTCGTGCGACGATACCCTTGGGCTTCGCTCTCTGGATTCCTTCTCCGAGCGATTCCTCTTGCTTCGCTGTTTCTCCTTTCCACTACTCTCGCGACTACTGCTGGTAGTCTCTCGGTTCTCTCTGGTCGACTCTCTCGTCGAGCTTACCTCGACCGAGTGACCGCTACTACTACCACCGACACTGCCACCCTGTTGTTCCCTGGTGTCTTGAACCTGCGTCGATCCAACGGCCACGCTACTCTCTTTCCCCTCGCGGCTCTCCCTGCTCTCGCGGCTGGATCTGTGCGAGTCGTTCCGGTGTTTACGATCCTCGGATCTTCGGTTCTGTCTAGGCCGGTCTTTGCTGTCCCGTCTGTGCTCGCTGATCTTCATGCGTTTCGCGTCGTCCTCGGTCGGGCAGTCCTGCGACGAGCATCGTCGCTTGATCGACACCGGCCCGGGAGAGATTTGATTCTGAGACTGGTGCAGCAGATGATTCTCCACGATCGATTGTTGATGCTGCTGCTGCTGCTGCTGCTGCTGCTGCTGCTGCTGCTGCTGCTGTTGTTGTTGCTGCTGCTGTTGCTGCTGTTGTTGCTGACGCCTGCTCTCTTCGCGATCTTTCTTCTCCTTCTCCTTCTCGTCCCTATCGCCCCTTCGTTTCTCCCGCTCGGACTTTTCCTTCTCCCGTCTTTCCTGATCCTCGCGCTCTCTCCTCTTTTCCCGATCGTGCTTCTCCCGTTCCAGCCTCTCTCTCTCCTCCTTCTCGCGTTTCTCCCTCTCCGCTCGTTCTCGTTCCTCTTTCTCTTTCTCCTTCTCCTTCTCCTTTTCTTTCCGTCGTTCCTTCTCCAGTCGTTCCTTCTCTTCTTTCTCGCGCTTCCTCTCCCTCTCCAGCCGTTCTTTCTCTTCCCGCCTCCTCTCTCGTTCCAGCCTGTCGCGCTCCTCCTTCTCCCGCCTCTCTTGCTCCTCCTTTTCCTTCCTCAGTCGTTCTTTCTCCTGCTTTTCACGCTCCAAACGAATTTCCCGCTCTTTCCTCTCCCGTTCTTCCCTCTCTCGACGCTCCTGTCGCTCCTTTTCTTCCCGTTCTCTCTTCTCGCGGTCCAATCGTTCCTTCTCCCTTCTCTCCTTCTCCCTCGCCTCGCTCTCTTCCCGTTCCTTTCTCTCCCGCTCTCTCTCCTCCCTCTCTCGCTTCTCCTTCTCTAGCCGTTCCTTGTCTAGCCGCCTCTCCTCGTCTTTCTCTCGCCTCTCTTGCCTCTCGCGATCCTCCTTCTCCTTCTCCTTCTCCTTCTCCTTCCGTTCCTTCTCCTCTCTCTCCTTCCTCTCGTGACGCATCTCTTTGCTGATGCTGATGCTGATGCTGATCTCCTTTGACGACTCTCTCTCCCTCACAGCGTGGCCTACTCCCTCGCTGTCGACGTCGTTCGGTATCTGTCGTTCTCCCCCGCCGCCGCCGCCGCCGCCGCCGCCACCGCCTCCTCCGTCCTTCTCCTCGCGGTCTTTGCGGCTCTTCTCAATGTCCACGACGACATCCTCCTTTCGCGACTTTCTCTGGCAATCCTTGCCGCTCTTGTTGCTGCCGCCGCCGTACTTCGCCTCTCTGCTGTCCTTCACGTCCTTCCTCGGCCGAGATCGGGAACAATCGATGGACGACGACGAGGAGGAAGATGAGGAGGAGGAAGACGACGACGACGACGACGATGACGAGGACGACGAGGACGATGACGACGACGACGATGAGGAGGACGAACAGGACGACGAGGATGAAGACAGCGAGGCGGTGGTAACGAAGGTAGATGGCAAAGAATTCGAGGAGGAGACGATGGAAGACGGTAATATCGCGGAGATGGCGCCGGTGGGCATGGAAGTTTGATGATACTGGCTGCTCGATATGGACGACGCGACGCTTGCCGCGGTGGTGACGATGATTTGCGTGGTCGTGACGATCGACGTTGCCATCGAGGTGGTAGAAATCGTCGACGGTGTCGACGTCGTTGTCGTTGCAGTCGTTGTTGTCGTCGTCGTTGAGGAAACGAGCGACGACGCGGCGGCGATGGCGGCGACTGGCGTGGAGGAAGAAACGCCGATACTACTACCGATCGATGATCCTCTGGCGGTAGAGGCTCCGAGAGCGTGAATGCTACTTATGCTACCGTTGTTGCTAAGATTACTACACGCTGAGGCTAAACCGCTACTGTTGCCGCTAGTGGCTGCCGTTCCGCTACCAAGGCCGATCGGTAGAGAAACAGGCGGTAATTCGGGGCTGACGGTCTTGATCGACGTGCCGGGTGTGATCGGCGTGGTCGGCGTTGGATGAACGCAGTTGTGCTGTTGTATCCCCGTTCGCGGATCCGGCGTCTTCAACGCCGACGTGAACGTCAAACCCGACGACGCCGCGAGGCTGCTGGTGCTGTTGTTGTTGCCGCCGCCGCCGCTGCTGTTAGCCAACTGTACCGGTGGATGACTAGGAAACGGATACTGCAGACAAACTTTGCCGGTGCAGCCACCGCCGCTGGACGCCGCGAGGCTGCTACTGCTACTCGTGCCACCACCACCACCGCCACCACCACCACCACCACCACCGATCATTGAACCGGTGACGCCGCTGATCACGCCGGTGAACTCTCTCGGCTCGTACTTTTCGTTAAAGTTCTCCAGACGCTTCGAGTCCTCGTCGAACACGCTCCTCTTGGCCAACACCGACTTGACGATGTCGCTGGGCTGTACCTCGTGCAGATCCAAGTCGAGCAACTTGTGCCGAAATCTGAACCTCTCGGACGCGGTGGCGTCGAGCTTGGCCAGAGCATCGCCCCCTGCGGCGCTCAACGCCCTCGATCCCGACCACTTCTCGTACTTCTCGTCGAGGGAGCGTATCCTTTCCTCGAGGCTGGGTGACTGGGGCGCCGTCTCACTGTCGGAGCTGGTCGGGCTCGGGCTCGGATGACGAGGAGGTGGTGGTGGCGGCGGCGGCGGCGACGCCGGTGGCTGTACCGCCGTTCGAGGACTCGGCGCCGTTGACGAATTGGCACACGGTGGACTGGTCACCACTTTCGCCAGACTCGAATTGCTCGTCCGACCGCTACTGCTATTATTATTGCTGCTACCGGTACTGTTACCGCTGTTGACGTTGCTGCTGCTGCTGCTGCTGCTGCTGCTACTGTTGTTGTTGTTAGTGGTGGTGGTATTGTTGTTGTTGTTATTGTTGCTGCTGGTATTGTTGTTGTTGGTGTTGTTCAACATTTGAGCCGCGAACCTTGGCAACGGTAACGAGAGAGGGCCGTCGTGACTTCTCTCGCGAAATCGTCTCGGTTCGCTCGGCACCAAATTCTCCGGCCTTTCGTCCACCAACGGAGTTCCTGGCCGCGATCCGTCGTGATGTTCGTGATGCCTTTAACAACAAAAATTACTCGTTTACCGATTATGCGCGGCTAGTTTATTTTCACCGCTGTTATTAGGTCAAAGATCTTCAGTTACCTGCTGGTGACGTCGCGGCGACGCTTGCATAGTCCTGGTCCTCTCCCTTCGCAGCTCCCTCTTCTGGTGCCATGGTGCACGACCACTTTGCTGTCGCTGACTCGTCGAATGTCCATGCCTTTTCTGCTCGAGTGCGAGGTAACCAGCAACGAGGCGATCTCCGGCTCGTCGTCCTCGCACAGTATGGTCGTGGTGGACGACGTTCCGTCGAGCTTCGCGCGTTTCTTTGGCGCGAATCCGACCTCGTCCCCGCTGCTGTGACACTCCTCGAGCTGCTCCAACAGGTGTACCCGCTCTTTCTGGAGATGGCGAATGTCCGGAGGTGGTAGCAACGGGGGCGGCGGTGGCGCCGGTGGGTCCACGCTGGTCACTACGCTTTGGACCGCGTGCCGACGAGACGGCGGTGGACAGTCGTCGTCGTTGAGCTTGCCGTCGGCGAGCACGCTGCTCTGGTAATCGTCGTGGCTGGCCCCGCTCCCCTGGCTGAACTCGTCGTAGCTGCGGAAACGGCGCGGGGCCGGCTCGCTGTAGTCCCCGTCGTAATACGCTTCCTGATAGGAGCGCCTGCTGCTGCGGGACATGGCGGTCGGATGAGCCGGACTGGCGCCAGGCGTGCTTCCGCCCCCGGACGCGCGCGAGTAACAACTGGCCGTCCTCGACCTCGGCGGCGTCTCGTATCGGGTGAATCGGCTGCTCGAGTTCGATACTGTCACCCCGGAGTCGAAGCTACTGCGCTCCCGCCT